AAATGGGCTAGTCCTCCCCCTTTCCTTCCCTAGGGCCGGTGGCCAGGGAGAGGGGCGTGCCAGCCCCCTTTGTGGGCTGGTGTATCTCTCCCCTTGGCCCATTAGGCGCATAGACCTCCCGGGGGTGTGCGGAACCCCTTCCGGTGACCCAATGACTACCCGGTGCAATCCGAACTCTTCTGGTGTCTGAATTGTAGGGGAACGTTGCATAAAATAAAAAAATTCCTACGTTCACCAAGATCAATCTATGAGTTCATCTAGCAAAGAGAGAGGGGAGTGCATCTACATACCCTTGTAGATCACGAGCGGAAGCGTTCAAGAGAACAGGGTTGAGGGAGTCGTACTCGTCGTGATCCAAATCACCGGAGATCCTAGCGCCGAACAGATGGCACCTCCGCGTTCAACACACGTACGGTCAGCGTGACGTCTCCTCCTTCTTGATCCAGCAAGGGGGGAAGGAGAGGTTGATGAAGATCCAGCAGCACGACAACGTGGTGGTGGATGCAACTGGGTTCCGGCAGGGCTTCGCCAAGCGACTACGGGAGGAGGAGGTGTAGCAAGGGGGAGGGAGGCACCAGATGTCAGGGTGCGGCTGCCCTCCCACCCCCCTCTTTATATAGGGACCCCAGGGGGGGCGCCGGCCCTGGAGATGGGATCTCCCAAGGGGGGGGGGGCGGCCAGGGGGTGGAGTGCTCCCCAAGGCAAGTGGAGGCGCCCCCTCCCCTAGGGTTCCCAACCCTAGGCGCAGAGGGGGGCCCAGGGGGGGTGCACCAGCCCAACAGGGGCTGGTTCCCCTCCCACTTCAGCCCATGGGGCCCTCCGGGATGGATGGACCCACCCGGTGCACCCCTGGGACCCTTCCGGTGGTCCCGGTACAATACCGATGACCCCCGAAACTTCCCCGATGGCCGAAACTCGACTTCCCATATATAATTCTTTACCTCCGGGCCATTCCGGAACTCCTCGTGATGTCCGGGATCTCATCCGGGACTCCGAACAACTTTCGATTTGCTGCATACTCATATCTCTACAACCCTAGCGTCACCGAACCTTAAGTGTGTAGACCCTACGGGTTCGGGAGACACGTAGACATGACCGAGATGGCTCTCCGGTCAATAACCAACAACGGGATCTGGATACCCATGTTGGCTCCCACATGCTCCTCGATGATCTTATCGGATGAACCACGATGTCGAGGATTCAAGAAACCCCGTATACAATTCCTTTGTCAATCGGTACGTTACTTGCCCGAGATTCGATCATCGGTATCCCAATACCTCGTTCAATCTCGTTACCAGCAAGTAACTTTAATCTTACCGTAATGCATGATCCCGTGACCAGACACTTGGTCACTTTGAGCTCATTATGATGATGCATTACCGAGTGGGCCCAGAGATACCTCTCCGTCATATGGAGTGACAAATCCCAGTCTCGATCCGTGTCAACCTAACAGACACTTTAGGAGATACCTGTAGTGCACCTTTATAGTCACCCAGTTACGTTGTGATGTTTGGTACACCCAAAGCACTCCTACGGTATCCGGGAGTTACACGATCTCATGGTCTAAGGAAGAGATACTTGACATTGGAAAAGCTCTAGCAAAATGAACTACACGATCTTGTGCTATGCTTAGGATTGGGTCTTGTCCATCACATCATTCTCCTAATGATGTGATCCCGTTATCAGTGACATCCAATGTCCATAGTCAGGAAACCATGACTATCTGTTGATCAACGAGCTAGTCAACTAGAGGCTCATTAGGGACATATTGTGGTCTATGTATTCACACGTGTATTAAGATTTCCGGATAATACAATTATAGCATGAATAAAAGACAATTATCATGAACAAGGAAATATAATAATAATCCTTTTATTATTGCCTCTAGGGCATATTTCCAACATGAATATCATCGTCTTATATATAAATATTTACCTTCGGACCATTCCGGATCTCCTCGTCATGTCCGTGATCTCATCCGGGACTCCGGACAACATTCGGTCACCAAATCATATAACTCATATAACACTAGATCATCAATGGATGTTAAGCGTGCGGACCCTACGGGTTCGAGAACTATGTATACATGACCGAGACACCTCTTCGGTCAATAATCAATAGCAGAACCTGGATGCCCATATTGATTCCTACATATTCTACGAAGATCTTTATTGGTCGAACCTTATGACAACATACGTAATTCCCTTTGTACATACATATGTTACTTGCCCGAGATTCGACCGTCGGTATCTTCATACCTAGTCCAATCTCATTACCGGAAAGTCTCTTTACCCGTTTCGTAATACATCATCTCGTAACTAACTCCTTAGTCATTTGCTTGCAAGCTTATTATGATGTGTATTACCGAGAGGGCCCAGAGATACCTCTCCGATACACGGAGTGACAAATCCCAATCTCGATCTATGCCAACTCAACAAACACCTTCGAAGATACCTGTAGAGTATCTTTATGATCACCCAGTTATGTTATGACATTTGATAGCACACAAGGTATTCCTCTTGTATTCGGGAGTTGCATGATCTCATGGTTGAATGAACATGTATTTGACATGAGAAAGTAATAGCAATAAACTGAATGATCATATGCTAAGCTAACGGATGGGTCTTGTCCATCACATCATTCTCCTAATGATGTGATCCAGTTATCAAATGAAAACTCATGTCTATGGTTAGGAAACCTTAACCATCTTTGATCAACGAGATAGTCTAGTAGAGGCTCACTAGGGACACATGATTGTTTATGTATCCACACATGTATTTAAGTTTCCGGTCAATACAATACAATTCTAGCATGAATAATAAACTTTTATCACGATCAAGGAAATATAATAATAACCATTTTATTATTGCCTCTATGGCATATTTCCATCATCTTCTTCCTCGTGGAGCCGTCCCCAGGGTCATCACCTCTAGATCCTGACATCCCGTCGCGTGACCGACGGGAAGGTCGCAACGGCGACGGTGAAGAAGATAAAGATATTGAAGGGGATGGGCTTCGAGCCATCTTTCCACTTCCTCTCCAAAGCTCCTCGTCAATGTCGCGCCCCCCGGGTTCATTGCCACATGACTGTAGAGCGTGATCCCACAGATAGGCCCTTGTGGCCCCTGCTGAAAGGCCATTTTCCTCCCTAAGTAATTTTGGTATAGATAACAACGCAATTTGCGGTTTAATTGTGTGCCAACCCAAGGAGCCAAGGGGAGTGCTCGAGGTTCGCCCCGATTAGCTAGAGCCAAGCTAAGGACAATTGCTCGCAAGGTGAATTAGTGTGTGAGATGTCTTGTGAAGGGACTTGGACTAAGTAAGTGGTGGTGATTGTGAGTTGTATTAACCATGTGCCGTAGTTAGATTTGTACACTGCGAGTCAGCTTGTATGCATAGCATAATAACACATAGAAGTTTAAGGAAAGGGTAATTTTAGTTAACCATGGCTTGTTTCCGTTTGATTTTCTTAGATATATTCCCTTTTTCTTTACATTTCTTATGAGCATAAAAGTGTTGTCTTTGTGGCCATTGAAGAATAAGGAGAGACGGGCATTGTCATTGCGAGCCTACTTGGTTTGATGCCAACATTTAGTATTATCAATATTTGGCAACCTTGACATTTTTAGGCCAGGAAGAAATTTGATAACCCAATCACTAGCCAACATTGTGAACCTTTTTGCATCGAACTTCTGTTATTCAATATGCCATTACCTCTCTCCGTCTAGGTGTATCACAACACACCATCATCTCTCCCAAGATGATAGAATTTGAAGCGATGAAAATGCTAGAGCAAGGGGTAAAGGCAATGGCAATGCGAGGGGTAAGAGGGGCCAAGCGAAAGATACTGCTTTATCTTTTCACAGGGAAGAATAGGGGTAAGGAAGCATGGTGATTTTCAAGCATTAAAAAAGCGGGAGAGAATCAATGTTGTCGCCATACAAATTGGAAAACACATGTCATCATAAATACTCCCTCCGTCTAGGTGTATAAGTCACCCTACGAAAATCAAATAATCCCAAAACACTTAGGCGCGGTACATTAACTCTCACCTCGTTTCTTGTTTCGTGACATATCAACCAATACGAGATGTGGGCCGTGCATGCTTTTAAAATTTGAGACTAGCAAACACGACATGCAGTGGTTTGTTTATTGCATGCAATGCTATTAATTAAAAAAACATTAACTTCTCTCGTTTTTCACTTCACCCTGGTCACGGCGCATAATCTAAGTGTAAAAACTTGAGACACTTATTTTGAAACGAACGGAATATAACATATATCTGGATGATTCGTATTTTTTTACTGTGGTAATACATGACAATTTAGCTATTCAGTCATAATAACACAAACTACCATCAATATTGAAAATGTAAGGCACGGTCCACATACTGTAAAACTTCTCATTTAGTGATCTACTCGTATATGCTAAGGCCGGTTGTAATGGGGAGTATCATATATTAGTATCATGCATATGATACTAGTGTATGATACTACCTCCTTAATGCATAGTATCATATATTAGTATCATGTAGTACTCTATTTATTGTCATGCATGACACAAAGTAGCACAACATTTAATATGATACGGTATCATGATATGATACTATACCCTCTCTTTCTTCATTTAATGCTAGGACACCTCATCAAAATTGCCTAGTTGGCATGCATGATATTAGCTATGATACTACTATTACAACCCGCCTAAGTTGATTGAATAGATCAAGGTTTTTAAAATAAAATAAAAATAGCACTGAATTTTATACGTATAGTATAGTGAGCTTGTGTGGGGAATCCGGATGTCTGGATCCGACCACGCACCGTTCCCATCCTCTGCCTACCATCCCATGGCGCGTTCCCTGTCAGCCAACTCCCCTCCCTTCCCCAACCTCTCTAAACCCTAAATCCGAATCGCATCGCATCGCATCGCGTCGATCCAACGGGATTCAAATCAAATCGAACGAGAACCGAAAAACGAACGCGAAGCTCCGGAATCCAGCAATGGATCGCTCCCGCTCCAAGCGCGGGTACCACTACGACCAGGACTCGCCGCCGCCCCGCTCCAAGCCCCGCTTCGACCGCCGCGGCGGGGGCGGGGGTCCGAACCCTAACGCCAACTACCACCGCCGCGGACCACCCGGAGGTGGCGGCGGCGGCGCCTCCGACCGCCGCGGCGGCTTCCTCCCCCCTGACGCCGCACCGCCCCCTCTCCCGCCCCCGCCGCCGCCCGCTTCCTCCGCGGCGGCGGGGGGCGGGGGTCCCGGCCAGACCACCTCCTTCCGCATCCTGTGCCCGGAGTCCAAGACCTACGGCTTCCCCGCCAGCTTCATTAACAACGCCCAGGATGACAGCGGCGCGATCATCACTATCCACCCGCCCTTCCCCGGGGACCCTGTCCGCGTCATCGAGACGACCGACGGCGTGCCACGCGAGGCGGATGGCCGCCCGCCGATGTTCTCGCCGGCGCAGGAGGCGCTCCTCATGGTGCACCGGCGGATCCTGGAGACGCAGCCTGACGACGGCGATGAGGACGGCGAGTACGGGCCCAGGGGCAAGGACGCCAGGGACCGGGGTAAGGTGACCACCCGGCTCATCGTGCCACGGCAGCATGTGGGATGCCTGCTTGGCAAGGGTGGCAAGATCATTGAGCAGATGAGGTCCGAGACCAAGACGCACATCAGGATCCTGCCTCGTGAGCAGAACATGCCTCGATGTGTATCGTTGTCGGAAGAGGTTGTGCAGGTATGGTGCCTGCTACAATGTTGTAAAATATTTCAATTCTTCTTCTGATAAGAGAGCATTAACAGTTGGTGTTTTGATTGGATATAGCATTGGTATTAGCACTGCACCATTCGAAGCTATTAGCTGAACTAAAAAAGGGAAACAAATGTGGGCTAACAATTATGTTAAGTGTTGGAGAAGACTTGGACTAAAGACAAATCAAACATATGAATGTTCAACTACTCTTAAGTTAGTGGGTAATGCCTCATGCCGTGTACCTTGAGATTTGGTTTCCATGATGACATTTTTATGTGGCTTGTAGTGCCATGGTTGCCCTTCCATTGAAAAGTATTGGTTCTGTGTGAGGAGGCGCGGGAAGTAAGCCAGTGCACAGATTTCTGCATCCATGTTTTCAAGTACATGGGACTGAAGAGATATCAATCAAGATTCTGACCCTGCAAAAAAAATCAAAAAAAAATCAAGATTCAGTTTCATAGTTGGTCGAGTGCTATTCAGATTGTAGATAAGTTGTGAATGTCTTTCTCCATGGGGGGCTTGCTGCATTGAATCACTCAGGAGAAAACCATCATGTGGGGAGATAAAACAAGGAGAATATTGTGTGCAATCATGTTATTCTGCTACGAGCCATTCTCATCTACCTTCCTGCGTGTTTATTCCTTCTCCCGAGTTAGTTAAGATACCTCAAGTTGGTTTGCTTCTATGTACAGTGACATTGCAGTGGTATGGGGATAATCACTGGCTTAGTACAGGGAAAAAGTGAATTCGTTCATTTCCTAAACAAGCCTGAATATTCCTCTTGTGCAAGCAATATAAGAAGCACAATACCAAACACTAATCAAACAAATGAGTTTTCAACTCCTCTCATAAGTTAGTGGGTGAATGTGTCATCTGCTATGTACCTCGAAATTAGGTTTTCATAGTGACCTTTGACCTTTTTGTTTATAGCTCTCACAACTCCATTGACTGAACACCCATTCCCAAGACGTGTCCTGCTCAAGAATTGTTGTCGGCTGGTAGCTATGTATTCATTCTGGATCCTTTTCTGGTTATTAACTTCTAATGCTGGCTTAAACATGACACATCCACCCACTAACTGTTCCAGGTAGTCACTGGCTGAAGATTTATATTCCTCGAAATAGGTTTGAATCCTCACACGTCAAATTTAAATAAGTGACTAGTCTGCTGGTTGCTTGGTGGAGAATTATATGGACATCATATGTTTCTTAATGCCATCAACTTATTGTCTTCTCCAAAGCAGGAGCGGCCCAATTCTGCCCTTCTTCGTAGAGTAGGATCCTCTCTCCCTGTGGCGGGGGCTGCGTCCCGTGCACTTGTGAAGATGGCATCTAGACCAGGGTTGTTTGGTGGCGTCGGTTGTAATGCCTGTCTTGCTACCGTTGGTTGTGGTCTTGTCTTGAGTGGCCATGTGTTTGGCCTAGTTTTAGGCTTGTACAGTTCAACTCTTATCAATCTATCAATGCATCGAGGCGCAACCTTTGTAATTTCTCGAGAGGAAAACATCATATTGAGATTATGATTGTAATTTTAGATGCATGGCAGGTTGAATTACTTTTTTGGTTCCCGGTCTTTGTTTTCACCGTAAGCTGTCATTGTCATGTTTACTATTCTCATGATATTGTTGTTACAGGTTGTTGGAGAAGGAAATTGTGTTAAAAAGGCTGTAGCGATCATCTCTGACCGTTTAAAGGAAAGCTTACACCGTGATCGTGGTCCCTTTCTTCGTGGACGAAATTCACCCGAACATCGCATTTCTCAGGCTGATGAATACCTGGGTGGTGGTCAGCAGATGCCTGCATTTGAAGAACCTTATCCCCGATTTGATCAAATTAGAAATAATGGTAGCATGGAGCCACCAGGACATGAGTTTGATTCAAATGGTAGCAAGTTCAATGAACATCCAGAGATTCCATTTGATGAAATCATATTTCGAATCCTTTGCCCGAATGACAAGGCTAGCAGTTTGGTTGGATCACGAGATGGAATAATAGATATGTTACAGGCTGAAGTTGGTGTTGATGTTAGGCTTACTGATCTTATTGCTGGATCTGACGAAAGGACTCTAATCATTACATCGAGAGAGGTAAATGGCACTACTTATTTCCCTCTAATTTATCACCCTACGTATTGTTCTGAAATTTTAATAGTTAATGAGGGTGTTTTCGTATACTACCCATGCTACTAGACACCACATGTGGTTTGGTTGTGTCGGTACCTAAAAGATACCAAGATAATGTCGCCGTGGAAAGGTGAAACTTGAAAGTAGCATTTTCGAACATATCAGCCAATAGTTCACTTGGATGATTGGATCATTCTGGCCAGGGCTGTAACGGCCAGTGATCTGGTCAGGGTCAGCCTGACATAAGAAATTAGGTTAGGTTTAAGTTGGGACATAAGTTTTTTTACCTTAAAAGAGTGAGTTTGCATCATATCTCTAGTTCAATCTGTTAGGCGTTCCCTTTATTATAATGGTATGTTAAACGGCAATTCAAAAGTTATCTCCAATCTTCCTCCTCTCTTGGTCAAACCCTCTGAATAGCACTCTGTCCTTGGCTCAACCGCTGAAGCATCACCAACCTGCGTCCTAATCTTCAGGGCACTGGACCTCGCCGGGACATCCAACAGAACCTGTTGTGTTAAAAACTGGCACATTTTTTCCAGGCCGAGAAGTTACAACTCTATCAACGTGTGGACTTGGTTTGATCACTCTAGAAATGAACTCATTGGCATTCTTTTAATCCTGACAGAAAAGATCTGTGCTAAACTGCTATATTCTTAAACTTTGTTGATATCGTGATGATAAGTATCTTCAAAACTATATTTTATGGTGCTTTCACACTAAAAATGACCTGAAAACAACCATGTTCATCCAATCCTAAACTGCTAGTGGAATTTTGCACTCAATATATCATCTCATAATCAATGCACCATTGCCAAATGGGTATCAGGGTATGATCCTGGTATCTCCTGAAACAACACAATTTCACTTTGCTTGCTAGAAATCATTTTAGAGGTGTGGAAAGCTGTTGGATCATTACTCACTTGCTTTTAGAAAATGCAAGATTTAATCAAAGATCTCAAGATATTATGGAACAAAATTTATGCATATTTTGGGAAAAAAAAATCATGGAATAGGCCTTAGCCAAGTGTTAACACATGACATCCTCAGATTAGCCCACCATGATAAGTGAACATGCCGACTTCAGAGCTACAAAACACCATGTAATATTCTTTCGCCTTTTTTTTAACCGGGCTACTCCCCCCTTTCCATTAATTTTCATAACGGAAATACACAGTTCCACAGATAGAGATAACAGGAGGGAGCAAAGAGGGGAACTAGCGAGCTCGGGCATCGTCAGGAAACCCACTATCTATGCCTGCAAACAGAATATTGATTATGGTGAAAAAAACTGACAACGCCATAGCAATGCCTAGACTAGAAAGAAGTACTAATAGAAATACAGATCCAAAGGCCGAACTGGCAAATACAGAACAAGAGCAGGAACTAAAACAGCCACAGCATCATCCATCCAAATCCAACATGGGCAGCGCAAACAAAAGACCACCAGCCATCACTTCATCTGCCTTTCCGGTGATTCACCTCGTCGTGGGGTACCATGCACAGCTGCATCATCTAATATTCTTTCGCCTATCTCTGCCTGCAAAGTGATTTATAGAAATGCTGGAACAGAAGGCATGATTATGAACTTCAAATTTTTACATCATTTTGGACCTGTGCAACTATTAGTTCTTTTGTTATACAGTATATCTGTACAATTATAAGATTACAAGGTTCTGAGAATTATTGCTTTCACAACCATTGTGTTTTCAAATTGCTGGGCAAGTGGGTGTAAACTAACAATGATCAGATGTCAAAGAACTGAACTAGCATACTTACAGAAGCAGGATCTCTCTTGGACTGGCGGAAGTAAATTGTTTCATGGTTCACGATAAGGCTGTACTATATTATCACTATGTGTTGAAGTCTACGTCAGGAAATTTGCGTAGTTCCATTATACTTGTTATTCTTTTTGATGCACATTAATAATAATTAAATGAAATGAAAAATCCATTTGATGCGTGTTAATTAATTAGTACTTCACAACACAACATGTTCAATTCTCATACACGGCTAGCTAGCTGATCAAAAGTAACGTTAGTTACTGGGTTACTAATCGGGAATTACCTTACTCGAACATTCTTTGACTTTTTAGAATTACCTGGTGAGAGTTCGAGGGTCAGCTATTAGTCAACTCGTGTAATTCGTGTTTTCCTCCAGTCATGGGAGTTGAGAAGTCGTCTAGTTTAAATCATACTATGATATGTTAGCTAATTAGGTTGTTCAATTATCTATTGGTGGCTGCTACCCATCAACCTTCCGTTAGATACGCTATCAAGGTCGTCAGTTCCTCCCCCACATCACAGCGTGCTCGTCGCCTCCGCAGCATCTTTTGCAACACAGACAAAAACCGCTCCATCGCAGAAGACGTCATCATAGATCCGGCGAGCGGCGATTGCAGACGGCCACATGTAGCACAGCCGGTGTCGCAGTGGAGCTGCAATGAAACATCGCCGGTGGTCGCCGCTGCTGCGATAGAGCCGGTGCCGCGGTGGATCTGCAATGCAACATCGCTGGGGGGGTCGTCTCTCCTGCGATGGAGCATCGTTGGGGTGCCGACAGCACTGGCAGCTCCGGCGAGGGCTGCGTTGTAGCACCAGCAGCCGACGACCGTCACGTCATTGCACCGTCGAACGCTGCATTGCAGCACCGGCAACCACCACAGGCCACATAGCAGCGCAACGCCGGCGAGGGCTGCATTGCAGCGCCGGCGACCGATGACGAGCGCCGTGTCACAGCACCGGCAGCCGTTGACGGGCGCAGCGTCGCAGCATCGGAGCATCTCTGCAGCGTCGCGAGTGTTTGATCACAACGTCCGTTGTGTTGTGTTTCAACATGGCCGCCGTCTTTGCATCGTATATTTTTTAGCAGCTTGGGCAGCAAAGCTCACAGGGAGAAGAACAAGAGGTTAGAGACGAAGAAAGTGGATCACGTTTTGAAGAGAAGAATGGGTGGCTCATGCTCGCGGAAGATAAGGAAATAAGGTTGGGTGGTTGGTGACTGACGCAAGTTGGGCGAGAGACGAGCACCGCACGACGCTTCGCGACGCGGTTTACGGCAACCAAAAATCACTCGGTTGGTTTTAAACGTTTTCCTTATCTATTATGTTACCAATCTTCAGAGCTGCGGCGCAACTTGAGTTGAAAAAAAGGCACCTCTTATCTTTGCCTAATGGTCACAACAGTCAGTGGCGGAGCCACGTTTACAAAAGTGGGTTTACATAATTCAAGATCAATGTTACCCTACTTAATTAGAACTAACTGATATATGCAAAATACTCTTGTTACGCTTGTATCTACATGTTCTTTGAGTGAAAACCAAAATTAATGGGTGTACATATGTACACCCATTTCCTAGTGTAGCTCCGCCCATGACAACAGTATCTGCTTGCGTGTAACCTTAGTTTGGCCTTCTGTCGTGATGCATGTATACTTTAATCTCTGTTCATTCTGAATACTAAAAGTTATTTTAGTTGAAGTATTTTTTGGCCTGACAGTTTGTATCAACCATCATCTGTAACTGAAATTTGGGGGATCGCTTGTTTCCCTCATGGCTTTCATTTCGATATTCTTAACGTGTCCTTTTTATATACATAGGGCCCAGACCACGAGCTTTTCCCAGCTCAAGAAGCATTGCTGCACATCCAAACCTTTATCGTGGATCTTGGCCCTGACAAGGATAACATTATCACAACGAGGTTACTTGTCCCTTCAAGCGAAATTGCTTGCTTTGAGGGGAGGGATGGATCATTATCTGATATACAGAGACAAACTAGCGCAAATATACAGATATTACCAAGAGAAGAACTTCCTTCTTGTGCCCTGGAATCTGATGAGCTCATACAGGTTAGTATTCATGGGTGCACATTCACTTCTGCTAGATTTGAGAATTTAACCAGGTAGCACGGATCCATGTACAAACACCTGCATGGCTGTATATAAATGTATTTTTTTAGTGCATGTCAATTATTTGGGAGGGAGGGGCTTTCTCTGTCAATAAGTTAAGAGCAAACTTTGCTGAAATACAGCCGGATCTTGTCGTTCTTCGTTTTCTGAACCAAGCTGGAATTGGTCTGTTTTTTACTTGCTTCTTGCTCATGAAGAATTATGAAGTTTGATGCTAATGTTGTTTGTTTCCTCCTTGAATGTAAAATTTATAATACTTGAGTTTGAAAGTTCATTGGCCACATTATGTTTTTACAGATTGTAGGAGAGATTCGAGCTGCTCGGAATGCTCTCATGCAAGTAACTTCGAAACTACGAAGTTACATATACCGTGAGATGTCTGCTCCTATCCAAATGGGCAGCATTAATGTACATGGATCCATTTCTCCAGCAAAAGGCTCACCTCGAGGACTATATGCTGGAAATGACCTTCCAATGCCTATCTACCAACAGGCACCACAAATGGCAACTTCGTGGCACTCAAAGGTATCTCTGAAACTCATGCAACAAATGATGATTTCCCTTTAAGTACTTGTACCCCTGATGTCTCTTCTTTGCTACTGTATGGATCTCCCGTCTTTCAGTTACGGCTATATTCTATCTGCGTCTTTCAAAATGGGTTTTGTTGTGCGTCCCACATCAATTTACTGTTAAGTTGACTAGGGTTGTACAACCTTGCATTCTTCATGGCAGAGCAAAACAGTTACCTAAATGACTAATAATCATAGGGAATTTTGTGCTATATGATGTGAATATTTGTACTCTGTGCAATAGCTAGTGTGTGTATTCCTCTTCTAGTTTTTTCCTATGCCTGCATTCTGATGATTATTTGTGGATCATACATATGAAATTTTCAATCGCAGGATAGTGGACTTAGTGCAAGTGGGTCGTTTGAGCAAGGGAGCAGCATTAATGATGATATAAGACAAACTAATACAAAGCGGTAAGTTTTTTTTTTGGGCTAATTTACAAAGCGGCAAGTCAGTATCATCGTTGTCAGTTTCTCTGCTTTGTTGATCCATGACCACCTTACTTTTCTGCCCATCAGATTTGCTGTCCCCCTAGTGACTAGAAGCACATTAGAAGTTGTCATACCCCAGAGTGCAGTTGCAAGCCTCAGCATGAGGGCTGGAAGCAAGCTTGCCCAAATAAGCGAGGTGCTGTATATCCTGAAACTTTTAAGCAAGCTAAAGACGGATATGACAGATCTACACACATTCTCACTTTCTAAACTCTGTTGGTAACAGATGTCCGGTGCATCGGTCACGCTTGCTGAAGATAGACCTGGAGTCATGGAAAAAGTTGTTCGAATATCTGGTACCCCCGAGCAGGCCGACAAAGCTCAGAGCTTGCTCCAGGGGTTCATACTTAGCAGTGAGTCTCTCTTGCCCCTTCCCCTCTATGAGATTTTTTTTTTTGCATCCTCTATGAGATTATCCATTCATCATCTGCACTCTGAAATACTGAACGCTTGTCCCCTTTCCGCTTGCCCAGTCCAAGACGACATTCCTTCGAGCTAATGAAGACATTACACGTCTTACCCGGCGCGTGCTCAATAGGCGCCGATTGTCTAATTCTTGTTTCCAGGAATCGCCTGTGTACTTTAGATGGAATGCACGAGTGTATCTCCCTCCAGTTGTATGCATTTACCCTGATCAAGCCCTGTGTCTTTATTTGTAAATTGTTCGTGTATGATATTCTCTGATCTTTACCTATTCAAGCTGGTATGTTGTATTACAAATGTACTTTATCTTTCTCACATTAAGTAGCCTAAGAAACACCATGGAGATTATTCTACCACCTCTTTCCAATGGTACGACTTCATCCTTGCGCTGATGCTAGTAATTGCAGATTGGGTGCTTTCGTCCAATGTAACCCGAGATGGATACCTTCTCTGTGCACACTAATGTGTTAATGATATGAAAATATTTTTAACTGCTGGTTGATGAAGACCTTGAAGGCATATGATATTCTGGAAGTAGAGTAAATTGTGTTTGAAGTGGATATTGATTATATGTATCGATTTGATTCACCATATATCCAGCAGGCCCTTTTTTTTGACATCTATGCCCAGCAGGTCCTATTGCCTACGAAGCACTGGTTTTTGTTATCGATGCTGTATTTGACTGCTTTGAGGCTATCGATGCTGTGTTTGACTGTTCTATCTGAAACTTAATGACTGCATTACTTCCATATTTTTATGGAGTTGAAGTGCTGTATTTGTGCCGAGTAATGCGTACTATTCACAAGCACAATATGAAGTACACAACATCTCCGGATCATAAACATTTATCGACAGCATTGGAGTTTGATCGTATCAAAATGCAAATCCATTAACCCTCTATTTGTAACTCAGCCTTCCTATGGGCATGCCCTTGTCGCTACAAAGGACCGAAATTGGTATACTCAGGCTACCAGCCCTCGTATTATTAGCCAATCCAACCGTAACATAATCATCGTCACATAATAGCATCAGCAACATCATAGTATCACATAGAGTGAGGGTAACATTAAACCTGTCCAGTAAGCATTGTTCTTTCGACATGCACAAAAAATCCCCTTTTCCTTCAATTTACCAAGTTAATAACATTAAACCTGGACAAGGAAGCTACTTCCTGTTTTTGGAAGGAAATTTCAATATGAACTATACATACGGACTGACATGAGTGAAGAAAAAAGCGCTTCAATATACATTCGATTCAGAAAAAAGTCTGAACATCTTATAATTTGAAACGGAGGGAGTAATTATACATCCGATTCAGAAAAAAGTCTGAACATCTTATAATTTGAAACGAAGGGAGTAGTTTTTTAATGAGAAAGCCAATCCAACCGCACAACTGTAAATCATCGTCACATAATGGCATCAGTAAGTTTTGTCCCCTGAACTTCAATCTGCACAGGTATCTTGTTTCATATAATACGTGGTACTATCTTAGCAGTGTCACGTAGGATAGGTGGAGGAAAAGAAACATGAAGAAAGGGTATGCCTTCTCTTAATTAAGAGGATCTCTTAACAACAAATCTCTCACTACATTTTGAGGAATATCTATCTAGTTAATAAAGATAAGTATTTTTATCATCTAGATTATGTGGCAGGATTAAGCTAAAATTGAAAACTGCCTTATCAACCGTCGTACATACCCTGGCATCAGTAACAGGATACTCATAACTAAAGATATCCTTTGTCCTCTGAATTTCAATCAGTAAACAGAACATCAATTGTCTTCTTGACGAGTACTGGTATATCCCTGTTTTGAGACATTTACTACCCTATATTGCTGATCCTACTCTTATGTGTTTGCCAATCCGTGGGCACAAAGAAAGAAGAACAAAACTGAAATCTAGTAACATAACATCATGGCATCAGCAACATGATGTGTCATAAGAGAAGCATCACACTGTCTCTTTACATATCATCATGGCATCAGCAACATGATAGTGTCATAAGAGAAGCATCACACTGTCTCTTTACGATTAGGAAGGTCCTAAGAACTGAATTGTTATGAATGAATAGCAAATCCAACTACACAAAGAACGCAAGGCAGACATAAAAATAGCAGCATGATCATCGTCACATAATGGTATCAGCAACACGATATTCACAACTAAGACCTTTGTCCCCTGACAGTCAATCAGTAAACAGAACATCAATTGTCCTTTTGTACAGGTATATCCCTGCTTCGAGATATATGAAGCTATATTTTGGACACCCGCTAGGATTAATGAAAATCACAGGTGATTGCTGATCCTACTCTTTTGCCTTTGCCAATCCGTTGGGCACAATTAGCAGAAAGAACACAAAGCATAAAACTAGTAACATGATCATCATTGCATGGTAGCATTTTAAATTTTGTCCCGTGAACTTCAATCAGTAAACAGAACATAATTGTTCTTCTTTTGAAGAGGAAGAATTAAATAAAGGAGGCTAATGTGCAACCAGATTAGTGAAGTAGAGTCCTGCCAACCTCAGGAAGTTTCCCAAATTACGGCAAACCAATCAAGGAGAACAAATCAATATCAAGACCATAATAATCATCAGATGGCTTGTTGCAAAGCATAATAATACGACGAACACTATAATCCGACAATTATTTAAGCACCTCAAATCACAACGATTTCTCGTTACTAAATCCATTAATCCACAACAGCCCACCGACAGACACAGACAGACACGGACGCTATTAGAACAGAATAGAACACAAAGTATATCGAGCGAGGGAGGAGAGGAAAAAGCTTAGATCTTGTCGATGTCCTCGTCCTCGAATTGGATGTAGTCGCTGTCGCCCTCGCCCTCCTCGGGGCCGTCGACGTCGACGCCCTCGTTGAGGCGGAGCGTGTCGGGGAGCTCCCCATAGGCCTTGAGCAGGCGGGCCTCGTCGTTCATGTACTTGAGGATGACGTCGGCCTTGTCGTCCTGGTAGTCGCGGAGGCCGACGAGGACGATGTCCCCGGCGGCGATCCAGACCTTCTTGTGCATCTTGCCCCGGATGTGGCAGAGGCGCTTGGTGCCGTCGACGCATATGGCCTCGCAGCGGCCGTTGCCGAGCATCCGCGTCACCTGCGCGTACTCCTGCCCGTCCTCCTTGAACACCAGCTCGCGCTTGTCGTCGTCGGCCTCGTTCTTGCCCCTCTTGCGGTTCTTGCCTCCCTTACCCTTGTTCTTCGGCATGGCTGGCTGGCTGGGGTGGGCTGGCTCTGGCTCGCGGCGACGGAGCTAGACGAAACCCTCGGTTTTAGATCGAGATGGGGAGCGGTGGTGGTGCGGTCTGCGGTTTCTGGGCTCGGGCTGGGCTGGCGGGTTGGGACTATATAGGTGGACGGGGGTGGGGGGCGATGAGGGGAGGCGTGGAGGAGTCCTGGCCGCCGGATTTAGGGTTGGGAGGGATGGACGGCGGCGATTTGGCTCTGGGGTGCCGTGTGCGGGTGGGCCTCCGAAGAGGGGAGGGGTTCGTGGGTGGACAGGGGCAGGATAGGACACGAGGACTCTGGGGAGTGGGGATCGACGGGGATTGGGACTTTGGAGCTTGGAATCCAATCCTCCGTCTGGTTGAGTAGTGCTCAAGGAATCCAACCCCTGTTTTTCTTTTCGATTTTGGAATAGAATCCAACCCTGTTGAGTAGCAAAAGAGAACCGCTAGAACAGGAAAGGCAAACGAATCTAAACTTCTCATGTCTTAATTGGTAGGTCGCGTTTCGGATTTTATTTTCGTCTCACATCACCCGATTATTTTTGGTACCTACTAGCACAAATGCCCGTGCGTTGCAACGGGAAACAGAAAACTCACTTCAGTAATGCAATGGCTCACATCACCAGACATGACGACATCAAGAAAGTCCTTGAAATCCTCCACGTTGTCACATGAGAAACAACATAATATAGGTGCGCTCCATCTTTGTATAATATAATAGATAAAAGTGCGGAGTTTGTGTCGCACATAGCAAGGACTCCGAGTCCGACTCCTTGTACTTTAGTGACGGGTGCTTCTGAGTCAAGCAGAAAAACAAGAGTAATGATTTATGTTGTTCTCAGAAATATATAGCATATGACCAACAAAAAAGGAATACTTTTTATTGTGATTTAGACATAGTTTTTCTTGTGTGTGTTATACATAATATTTTTCTCTTGAGTTAAACAATTTTGATACGTCAAATATTGGTATTACAACGTGACATTACTTTTTTTTTCTAGTGATCCGATTGAATAACTCAAAATCTTGATCGGCCATGATCTAAGTTTTTTTTCTAGTGCAAAGACATCTAATTTTGTATGTGCTCAAGTTAAACTCAACTTGCATGTCCCATAAAAAAAATTGTACACATGCTTTTTATATATTCCTGACTCATAATTGAGTTGTGACGTACATGCCTTTTGTTCCAAATATGCTTTCTCATTCTTCTCTTATCCTCAGTCATGATGAACGCAGGGTTGCCTTCTTATTACTTCCCTCTTTCCTTCTATATCCTTCCTCTTTCTTTCTTTATTTTTCTAATCATATCTGAAATCCCTCTTCCTTTCCTTATTATCTCAATGCCTCTTTCCTTATGAGACGACTTATTTCCTCCTTAATTCCGCAGATGGCTCCTCGATACCTAGAAAAACCGAAGACATATATAAATTAGGAAAATTAGATCTAAGCGAGGAAGGTGGGACTATTTAATATTGGTTAATCAACATCTTATTCTCATATGTTGTGATCCAGCTTAGTTGATCGTGACATCACGTGTCGAACTTGAGGTTGTGTGTTCGAGTTTCCCACCAGCCATAATTTTTTTTTGCTTCGGCCTCCTGGGTGGGCCAGGATAATTTGGCCTGGGAAGGCCCAAAGCCAGCTGACCAGAATGACTCATGTGGGCTCTTTTAGTATCTGTACGAAGCAGGCTGAGGCCCAGACGCCCTGCAACGGACTCAAAATAAGACCAAACAATGTTTAGTACCACCTCGTACGTGAGCAAAATAAGACAGACGGACCGCTAGTACGTGACCAAAACTAACGGAAAAAAACTAATCATGGGACGAAATCAAGAATATCACCTTGCTTTATTAGTAGGTACTAGCAAATATGCCCGTGCGTTGCAACGGGAGAAAAACTATCAAATTATGCAGGAGTGGTAGATAATGGCTATTAAAATGCCAAGGTGAGATAAGGGCTTCTAAAATGTCAATTCAAAAACCATGTCTAAGTGATGTCATGATGAGATAAGCATCTTTTGAAAAGTCATTTCAAAAAACAAAAAATGTGATGGTTTGACCATAATTTGATTTCCTAAGGCGCAAACTGCATTGATGGACCCTGCCTAAGCTAGACTGATGAATGATGTATATCATCTTGACCTAACGTAGCGGTGGTTGTCATAACAATTACTGTGGTACCAGAATAAACATAGCTGTGTATGGAGGCAAAATAGACATTTAGTTATTTTTATATAGTTTACAAAAACTAACCCATAGAAAGTTGTGTCAATATTTTTTGGGTTCAGCGTTGTACGAAACATGGAAGCCTTTTTTTACCCGATGCGAAGGATTAAATAAAATCATAAATCGACCTCTAGAGATCCCTTATTAAAACTTCTACGCAGGCGATGTTTGATTTTGTTCATCATTTACGGGCCTGTTGTAATTTTGGAAACATTTCAAAAAAATCATGTATATTTTTTTTCTAATTCCAGAATGTGTTTTGAATACTGGATTTTTTAAATCATGTTTTTTTCATGAACATCTATTTGATATTGTGATTTATTTTTCTATGATATGCGAATTTTTTTTTAAATCATGGACAATTTAGGATTTCTCAATAAAACTCGCAGCTTTTTGAAATTTGGTTCTTTTAAAAATCCCGAATGAATTTAAAGAATGAAAAAAAAGGAATTAAAAAAGTAAAAAGCAAAAAACGAAATAGAAAACAGGGCGCCACCAGCCACATATGGGCCGGCCCATTAGCACGTGCAGGAGGAGGAGGCGCGGCATGTACATTTTTTTCTAGTTCAGACTATGTTTGGAATACTGGATTATTTTTAAAAAAACATGATTTTTTATTTCTTGAACATCGATTTGATATTCCGATTTTTTTATGGTATTCAAACAATATTTTGAAATCATGAATATTTTATGACTTCTCAATAAAGCTCGCAACTTTTCGAAATTTATTTCAAAATCCTGAATTAACTTAAAGAAGAAAAAATAAAAAGATAAATAAGAAAGTGAAAAGCAAAAAAGAGAATAGAAAACAGGGCCCACCACCAGCCAAT